TTTTATAAAATTAAAATTTCGTATAACATTCTTATTTTTACATTATATTATTCTATCAGCTTATGACATCAACGTTTCATTCTTAGCAATATGTGTACTTACTTAAATAAAATTTTACCAATTTTTGCGACAGCATGGAATATTCTTTCATGACTCGAATTTCTATATCATCCGTAAATATATTCCAGTGCTCGTCGATGGTTTCGCACATCCATCGCAACTGATTATAACAGAAACGTGGAGAAACGATTTAATACATATTATATCTCAAATAGTTTTAACAAAACATAAACGAAGTAAACATAATCAAAAAGAAATTGTGCTATCAAAAATAACACGATTTTTGAAACCCGTACCTTATCATAATTCAAAATGCCATTCAAATGTCTTGCGACAAACGAGGTCGAGATTAAAACTTGGAAGCAACCGTCAAAAATTAATTGTGCATCGTCCGAATGATCATACAATAGTAATATCTGTATAAAATGTATACATATGTGATACGAGATGTTATAGCTTATATATGTATGATAAAAAATAATAAAAGTCAACAGTGTTTGAAAGTATTTTTTGTTTCAATAGAATGTGTCGATTAATACTCATTACCTCAAGTGGATAATAACTCATTTCAACTAAAAAGCAGAAAGTCCATATTAAATTTTTCACGAGTTTATTTTGAAACGGCCAAAGACCTGTGGTCGACAATAATATTGAGTTGGTATTGTATTCTCGCAGAAAATTTTCCAACATGATTATTCAGTTTCTCCGAAAGAACTGCGACATCGTATAAAGAGATGCAATAGACAACCCTCCATTGATTATGTCTATAGTTGCACCTGTCGCAAAGGGTGCGAAATTATAGTATGTCAAGAATCGTTAATACTAATCTATCATTTCGTCTACACGCATGTCTGTCTCAAAAGTAAACCATTATATTGTTGATACAGCTCTGTGTTGGACATTTTTACGATGTGACATTTGAATATGTTGCTTGATATGCGGTAGAAAATTGAGGATACAATTATAACTAGAGACCGAATCGCGGTGCCGTTTTCCCTGTCCCAAGCGCGTGCTAGCAGTCGTGAGAAGGAGTACCCTCTATATACACCGTGCCGGTCTAGCGGAGTAACGTGTAGCAAATATATTTATTTATTTATTTATGTAATTATTCTCACGGCGCTCGGCCACTAGCACACCCGTGCATGAGTGGAGAAAATAGTACCGCAATCCGGTCTCTAATAATTATAACAATGAGACGCATACTACGATTTGTCTTCTAGTTTCTTTGATAACTTTTTTGTTAGATGAATTTGTATGTTAGATTTTCTTCCAAACAATTTTGTGTGTATTTCTTGGCTTAATGATATCGAGATTTAAACTTCCGTATATCCGGTGCATCATGCATCCACGTCCATCGCACATGAGCGACGCCACGTATACAGGGTGTCGCGAAAGTAGTATACGTGTCTCGATATATACTCTCTCGATCCGTATTCGACTCTCTCGAACATGTTGAGAAAGGTGATTAAATTTGCTTGTTCATTTAATGAATTTAATTAACGTAGTCCATCGAGTTGCTATGTAAAGAATTTTGACAATGGGAACGTAAAGCCGTGTATTCACCAACGGAGCGAAGACGAGCGACGAGCGAGCAAAAGCGAGCGTTCGCTCGTGTTCTATATATCCCTAGTGAGAAATGTATAGTTGATAATATAATTATCGACATTGATTCGACGTCGGGTCAACTATAGTCAGTCAAGAAGTTCGTCGATTAACAGTGATTCGACGTCGAAGACGTCGATCAATTCGACATTGACTGTAGGATAGAGAACTTGAGAACTTTCTAGAAATTCTCTATCCTGCAGCCAATTAACATGCTTAAAAAATTTGTCGTATACGCACATAAAATATCGGTCTTTGCATCAGCTTTATATGGGTAATGATGTAAAAAATTATTATTTTGTTAATTTTACATGAGAAATGTTGACACTTCGTTTGGACACTTTGTGCGAACATATATATGCATCACTATATATCGTCAAGAAACATGATCCATATATTCACACAAAGTGTCGACATTTCTCATGTAAATTTAACAAAATAATTTTTTTTTTCACGTTCATTATCCATATAAAGCTAATATTAATACTGCATATCGACGTGGCAGCCATGTTTGTTATGCCACGCTAGTGCTCTTTTTCCCGCGGTGGATGTTTTCTTTCCCAATAGGCCAGTATTTATTAAGAAATAAATCGCGTAATAGGTGATTAGTTTGTTCTTTATTTGTATATAGATTTTATACGCATGTTTCTTTTATAATATATTTTTATTTACACAGTGTATATATTTCAAAATAAATTACAAACTTTGTCAATTTATCCGAATTTGAAAGACAAATTAAATATAGGCGTCAAGTATGTTTTTTTACAAATCTATAATATTTATTTCAAAATCTAAAATTTATATATTGTACAGGACAGTTTCTTAGTGATAAATGCAGGACGGATGTTGATAATGGATGATTCCTCGTGTTTCTGCGACCGTTTAACACTCAACCGACTTATCTTCCTCATTAGATTCCCTCATTATGCTCCTACAAATTATTTCAATACAATATACAAATTAACGTAAGAAAATGAGACCATACATTCAAGTTCGACTATACCTTTGCTCCAGAACATCCTGGAATCTCGGAAACGGAAACAAGTCTATCAGATCAGCATGTATGCGGCAGACGAAGGACTAAGGGCTCTCGAAGCGGATGAGATCGGACACTTCTCGCTTCGGACAGACGCCGCACGTTGCCCAAGGATCCTCTAACTCCCAAAGATCCGGCGGTAGATGCTCGCGACCAGGTGGTGGTCCACGTAGCGGACTTGGTGGGTATTGTTCCACGTCGAAGAACCTCTCGAGCTCCTCCGGGTCGAAAGGAGGATATTCGTAGGGTGCCTCGCGCCTTGGTATATCGCGCATGGTGGTCTTTATCCTGGACGGAAGCGGCATGTCCTCTTCCTCCTCCCAAGATATATCGCCCTCGCGTAAAAATTCCTCCTCGAACGGCACATCAAAGCGCAGATCCTCCGGCAACGGCTCCTGAGCTATCCTCTCGAACTCCCGTTCGGCTCGACGAGCTTCCTCACGCGCCCTGATACCAGCCATGCTTCTCTGGGCGAATTCGCGAGCCGCCACGACACTTGGATGTTCTCGGCCGTATTCGACGCGGAACATCTCGCTCTCGATGTCAGGGACTCTGCATCAAACGACATTGATTAACTTGATGGCTCTTTCATTGACGAGTAAAAATAATGAAACTTTATCAGATAATTTTTCTACCCCTTTTCATCCAATTGTTATTTAGTATATTATTTTATCGTAGACGAGGAAGAGTTCCAATGCTAATCTCAAATTTACTTTAAAAGCAAGTAAACTTGCAAGTAAACTGATTTTATACATGCGATTCTATTAAATTTCTTTTATTTTATTCTTTCTCATCGATCTTGAATTTTTATTTATGTTGATACGGCTAGATCGGTTCACATTTCTATCTCTTTAATTCATTAGCTTTCGTAAAACTGGACTAAAACTACAGATTTGCGTCTTTATTTGACAGCACGTTTCAACTTGCAAAACTTTAACTCTTTGTTTTTTCTTTTTCTCATCATATTCTTACTTGTAAATATATCTAGGTCTCTCTTCTTCCGCAAGTTTTACAGCATGACCGCCAACATTCGCCACGGACATCACAAAGTCCCGTCTTGCTTGCTGCAAGTCCTCCAACTTGCCCTGTACCGTGGCCGCTTCTGCAGCATCTTGCTCATCGAGAGTCTCACTATCCAACAATACCCATGATCAACAGGCCATTGAAACATTGCATTACTAGTCTAAGAAATAAACAAATAAAAGGAAATTTTCTGGAAATATTTTCTCCACGAGCAATAAAATTCTCAATATTTATCACTGAATTTAGTTCGGTTGAACTTGACCACGTCTTGTCATAAAATTACAGCGGAAGATAAAATCTTTTTTAACGCATTTGAACTCTTTGTTAAGACAAAAAGGAGTATAACGAGGGGATCCGGAATTTTCCATCTCAGAAATGTGGATTTCTTTCGATCTATTTCTATTTCTATTCGTCTACTTTTCCCAGAACGTCATCATCGGGATGCCCTCAAGTCACCTGATCACTCGAATCGAGCGGTTCGCCACTTCGGATGTTGCCGCCTCGACGCCCGCCGCAAGTGGTTGAGGGATGCTGACGATGGTAGTGCGATTCTCGTTCACCGATCTCGGCGGTATCACAATGCTGTCAATCGGGCCCTCGCCAACCGGTTCGGCTTGGATCACCTGAGCATTCATGGACCTCGCCAGTTCTCTAGTCCTTTCCGGGATAGTCGGGAGCGGTTCCGGCGCTCTTCTCCCCAGAGGCACTCGTCTTTCCGGCCTTCTCGCTGGTCTAGGAGGCGAAACCGGCGGAGACAGCGTCGGGGCGCGTCTAGTAGGTCGTGGCCTCTCTCTACCAAATCTGTAGAGGTGTGAAAAAAAAAATCATAAAACATATTTCAGACGCGTATTAAGAAAAACTCTTTCATAATTGCTTCAAGAAGCAACGTGCGAAACAATAGTTTCGGAGACTCTGAGCTGAAGTAACATACGACGAAAGCCGTTCATAATTTTCGAAGTTCACCTAGGATCACCGCCGATCGGCGCAGGTGTCCTCCTTGGCACCCTTCGCACCGGCATGGCCTCTTCCCGTTTACGCTCATACTCCTGCTTGAACTTCTCCGCCTGCTTCACCCGGGCCATCATCGCCTTCGTCATAGCCGGTCTAGCAAAGTCGACTCTCCTCGGCTCGGCTGGAGCCGGAGCTCGACGTCTTCTGCCGGGTTCTGCCAAGACTGGCTGTGACTGTCGCACCGCTTCCTGCTTTTGCTCATACTCTTTTACTATAGTGGCACTCCTCGCTTGCCGTAGTGCCTGCGTCTTCGTGAGAGCAGGTTGAATTCGCGGTTTCCGGCTCGCCATTGTCGATGTTAAGTAATTCTTTACATGCGAAGATTAATATACGATACAATACTTTTAATATAATATTATTGCTTTATTATACGATTTTATTGTAAAAACAACGATATATACCGCTTATCCGCCTTTACCATTTGTGCACTGATCGTTTATTTAATGCTATCAAAGAAAATAATCCAAAATACATAATGACTTCCGTCGAATAATTGCTTTAAAAAAACCTTGTAAAAATGTATTTTCTGGAGTTTCCGAAGGATAAACTTTTCCGGTTAGCGCGACGATTTTTCTTGGCGCTCAAATAATGGGTCCAGTATTTTTTCATGTTGCGAAAGCTTGCAATATGTTAACGGTCCATCCCGACAGGTACAACCGGCTCTTAATTAAAGCCGGGCAGTTCAATTTGCCATTATACGCAGGAATTTTGTATTATGACAGGCCTAGAAGGTTTGTGTGATTTAGCATGTGAAGAAATCACTGGTGACAGACGCAGCGGCTTTTGTTTCGCTTTCGCGAAACGTATCTCTTGATCGAAATGACCGTATCTCTGAAGTTGGTGAAAATGAGAAAATCTTCCTGCTTTATGCGACTTTTGTATCGAATAAAATTTTATTTTTAGTGACGTAATACTGAAGATTCGATCAAGTGATTTTTAAAAAATTGCAATATCGTGAATGGAAATTATTGTACGGGGTGTATAACCGAATGGTAAATCAATAAATCGATATTTATATATAGTGTTTAATTCGAATGCTTATTTTATTTATTTTATTTTTTTGTTCGACTACACTACCTAAATAGCATTATCATAGAAATAGAATTTTATATATACATATTTACAAAAAATACAATTTTATTTAAAATGTATCGCTTAGTAATCGGCGGCATTACTGGCCAGATAATCGCGACGCCCAATATTGGACGCCTGCTTATTCTGCACAGCCTCCAACTTCGGACACTCTGTGATCCTGTGTCCCAGTCCACCACAATAACTGCAGCCGCGTTCGTCTGCGATAAAATAAGAAAAACATTTTCAAGATTTCTTTACAATAGAACGACATAAATTCATGATGAGAGAAGAAAAAAAAGGCTAAAAGAAAAACATAAATCATCCACTATTGTCTTACCTCCCAGATTGAGGTATTTTTCGTTCTCCGAGCAGAGTTCCAGCAAGAACGGCGGCACCTTTTGCTTCGCTTCCATCAGTAGATGTTTAAGATCGAGCAGCACCGATTCATCGTTTGCTTTATTGATGAAAGTCGTAGCTATACCAGTACGCCCGGAACGGCCAGTTCGTCCGATCCTGTGCACTAAAAATTACAAAAATACATGAAACAGTCTATTTCAGTATCTTTCCTGAAATCACCATTTTTCATTTATCACAATATATTACCGTAATTCTCTACATCGTCCGGCATGTCGTAATTAATAACATGTTGCACATCAGCGAAATCAAGACCTTTCGATGCAACGTCTGTCGCAACGAGCACGTCCTTTCGACCCGCGCGAAATGCTTCCACCGAACGTGATCTTTCTTCCTGATCTGAAAGCACATAATGAAATGAACGAATATATTTAATTCATTTTGATATTTATTAATTTTGAAAGGCTAATACGATTTATCGGTGATCCTGCGATGATTTTATATCAGCATACTAAGGTTAACTAAAATGTACTCAAAATATCATGTACCTATTCCTCCATGTATCGCTACAGCTTCCACCCCTTTTATGAGCAGATATTCGTGGATAGCGTCCACGTCGCGCTTCTTCTCTGCGAATATCAAGACCGGCGGCGCAGTCTTTTGCAAACATTCTAAGAGGTAAACGATCTTAGCCTCTTGCTTGACATACTCCACTTCCTGTATCACATTCATTGATGCGGCGCCGGCGCGGCCAACGTTTATCGTTACGGGTTTCACCAGCGCCGAACGTGCAAAGTTTTGAATTCTTTTCGGCATAGTAGCAGAGAATAAAAGCGTTTGCCTCTGACCCTGCGATAGACATAGTTATTATTTTATATAGTTATTATTTTTATCATTTTAATAAATATTTGATCTTTCCACTGCACGAGATAAAATCTTGCGTGAAAAAAATGCGAAATAATAATTACCCTGAAAAATGAAAATATTGTTCGCACATCTTCCTCGAATCCCATATCTATCATGCGATCCGCCTCGTCCATGCAAAGATAACGGCATACACTTAATGTGACCATCTTTTTATGTAACATGTCCATCAGTCGTCCCGGTGTCGCTACCATTATATGTACGCCTCTATAAATAACATTAAAAAATAAGTTTTTGACATATTAATAGTAATATTGTGACGTATTAAAGATCGAAATATCAAAAATATAATTAACAATAATAATAAATACTAACTTGTTGATTATAGCTAATGACTCCGAAACCGGCACACCTCCGATTGCCAAGCAGCAGCGTATTTCTGGACACTCCACGTGCCTTAAGCTATTGGTGTAATGCTTTATTATGTCATAGGTTTGCTTAGCCAATTCTCTCGAAGGACATATTATTAAACCTACAGATTAGAAAATATTAATATATGTATTCATTAATCAGATACTATTCTACCTATTCATTATTGCAAATATTTACCATAAGGCCCTTCCTTTTTAATGAACGGCATGTCGATTTCCTGTTCTAAACAGAATTCAATGATGGGTAAAACAAACACCAACGTTTTACCACTACCGGTGGAAGCTATACCGATCATGTCGCGACCAGACAATCTGCAAGTATTTAACATTTGTAACCATTCGTTCAATATATTATACAGGCTACGGTCAACGTGACGCTACAAATGCTTTAGAGCGTTCTTTTTCTCTTTCTTTCTTCATTGAAAGAAAAGAGAAGGGGAATGCCTCGAAGCATTTGTAGCGTCACGTTGATCGTAGCCACAGTCAATTGGCACGACAATATCAATATCATTGTAGTTAGAGACTCACACTGTGGGTATTCCTTGGACTTGGATGGGAGTTGGCTTGATAATACCCTTCTGTTCCAGTCCGTACAAGATTCCTTTATGAAATTTCATTTCCTTGAAGGTTTTCAAGGGTGGCGGTACTTCGTCACCCTCCACAAGTATCCTGAGCTTTCTACGTACTCTCTCGTGACGCATCTCGCCGAGATTCAGTATCGCCCTCGGTGGCTGCCAATTGGTCTTGATAGGATCCTTATACTGAATACCCTTGGCCAACTCAGCGACGCCCATCAGAGCTTTATTCTCAGCCACGCTTTCCAGGATCTTCTCCTCCTCTTTCAGCTGCTTCTCCATGGCACTTTCCTTTTTAGCTGTTACAATTTTATGAATTAGTTGTGCTTAAATTGTAATATTTCTCTGCTAACGCTCGTTAAAATTATGTTCGTGAAGATTTTGTACCTTCAGCTAATTTCTTCAATTCGGTGTGTTGGTCGAGAAGAGAGATGTTAGATTTTCTTCCCCAGACCTGTCCGTCGTCGTTGTCGCCATCATCCTTCTCATTCTCGCTGCTGCTCTTGCCGACACCATTGATAGCTTCCTCTTTCAACTGTCCAAGCTTACCCAGTTTCGTGAGCAACTGCTTTTTACGATGCTTGGCAGAGACGTATGGCTCGTAATCATCATCTGTATCCAAAGGGCTGTCCTCTTCCCTTTCCCTTCTGTACCTCTGCATTGAAAACAATTTTATACACATACGTAATTTTAAATACATAAAAATCATGACAGAAATATAAGTTGAATCACAAAATACTTAAAGATTTAAAAGAGAACTTGATTATACAGTAAAATGCATATATTATAAAATAGAATCCACATATATATAACAAAATATCTTTTGATTAACTAACCTTTAACGGAGGTTCCCTGTTATTCTGATTCTCCATTAGGAAATATTCGTGGCTACGGGCCTACGGCTACGATGGAATCTACACTGCGATATATTAGAGCACTAATTATTTGTGTTTTGTTATTATTTTGTCTAATTAAAATATTTACCCTTTTACACGCTGCACCTCACACGCGACTTCAACTAGTCAGAGAGAAACCTGAGAGAGGCCATCCCGCGACCCGCCCTTTTTCGTGTGTTGCTGTGTTGCATTTTCCGACGCGCCGCCTGAGAAAGTGCAACTCAACTACGTCGTATCGCTCGGTAACCGCACATGGTTTGCGTCCGTGCTAATGGTTCGTGTCCGAACTAGCCAGCTGGAGGGGATATTCTGGCCGCGGCGGCCGCGCTTCCATCTTGCGTATTCCAATTAATAACGAATTACGATAATTAAAATTACAAAATTAAGATTACATTCTTCAAAATTATTACGAATTTTGTATCTCATAATTTTGAAAAATATAATCGTAATTTTATAATTTTAATTTTCAGATAAATGTCAAATTTTGCAAGCAAGAAGCTATTATTTGAGCGTTGATTCAAACCTTCACATTTATGTGAAATTTATAATAATTAACGATAATTTTTAAAATGTGAAATTCTATAGATAAAGAATAAACACCGTTATGATCTTAATCGTTTTCTGTTGATTTCGTATAATATATCCGGCATTAGTATCATACAATTTCAAATTTATTACACGTTTCCTTATAATTCCTTATTACAATAATTTTTTTATAAATGTTACATATGGAGGGGTAAAAGCCATAGTGGTGTAAGTCAAATTTTTTAAAATATTGTCTTGTATGCATAGATGCAATTTATATATTGTATAGAATGCATCTATGCACACGAGTCAATATTTTAAAAAATCTGACTTATACCACTATGGCTTTTACCCCTCCATATAATTAACAGTATGAGTTACAATCCCAGATAGCACAGCTGATCTTTATGAATTCAAAAAGATCTGAATCTGATCTTTATGAATTCATAAAGATCAACTGTGTTATCTGGGATCCCTTCGTGTTCCTACCTACCCAAAGTATAATATCTCTATGTATAATATGTATATATTCCCCGCCTATCCATATTTCTATATCTTCATATAGCTACCTAATATTTCATATTCCTATCATATTTTTATTTACCTAACGCGTTATTTCTGCTTACCCGAATTTATTAGTTTATTTAGTTTTATTATTATTAGTTTATTTTATCAATATTAATTAGTCGCAACCGCGATACCCGAAATTAAAGAAGTAAAGATTTTTAAAGGGAGTTTAAAAAATTTTAAGTTCGCGATTAATTGAAATTAAGCTGGAGACGTCACTTTCCCGTCTCCGATTACGCGTTCCCATGTGTAAAAAATATTACCCTCCTTATATATGCATTATACACTAAACTGGTGGTGTTCAACACCAACCTACCTTGTGTAGATCTTCTCTCCTTTGACCAGTTTGACCATACCATTTCATGGCCAAATCCATTCTGGCAAAGCCAGAAACAAGAAGAAATACACCTTCTGTTGCCGCCTAATCATAGACGGCAAATGAGCATAATGATTTTACGCTTTTTCCCACGATGCGCGAAACACGACCGCGTCGCGAAGGACCATTTGTAACAAAATTAAATTAAGTAATTTTAAAATTACTAGCTTTCAAAATCTACTTAATATCGTACAAATTATAATTTACGCAAATGATCATTTTCTCGATTAAGAATAAAAAAGATTTTAATTAGTTAGGAGCTGTTAATTTGGAAAAAACCCATTTTAATCAACCGCGTATGTAATCCGAATAAATTCGACTACATTTTACGAATAATAGCAACTTTAATTTAAATCTGATATAAGCATGCAGGACATAAATAAAAATGCAAAATGTAAAATGAATAACAATATTGACTAACGCAAACTGAAAAAATCTAAGGCCCAATTTTTTTCGATATCGTTTCGCATATATCGAGTCTCACCTCAAAAGGATGAAAAATAAGGAATTAATGACGTGAGATCCGAAAGAGATAATCAAGTTCCTGCACAATATGGAGCTAATGTGAACACTTTATGCACTCGAGCAAACAATTTGAATTTTGATAGTTACATCTTATTACGATAATTATACTACTACTTAAAAATCAAGTATTTATATTAACGCGAAATTAAGTAATCAAGTTGAAAATAATTGTTACAAAAAATTATCTATTTTGCAAAACATCATTTATCAGATCTCACGTCATATCGCTTTAACTATAGTATAAAAACCAGTTATCAATACATATATGAATAGACTGTGAAAGCTTAGGCTAAAATTGGTGCGTTATAGGAACAAATAATTTTAAATAATGATCGTGAACACACACAATTTTGTTAAATGGCTTACGTAAAAAATATATTAAATAGATTGTATATACATAACAATAAATGATTAAAATAGTGCAAAGTACTTTTTATCTTCACTAGACACTACAGACGCGCGCTTTGCGCGCGCTATTTATAGCTTTAACATTATGCTATTACTATTACACTATTAACCCTTGATACACACAACTGTCAAAATATACAATGACAGCTGCAAATGAAGTAAGCGCAGCAAGAGAACCAATCGGCATCGCGGAAAAGTGACAACAATACCTACGACATGCCCTTTTTAGAAGAAGAAGAAAGAAGAAATCGTGATATATGCAAGCTAAAAGCATCTCTAAGCGTATTATATATTGCATTCTTGCACCAATTTATGTAACACTTAATCCTGAAAGATATTTGGGATGGAATTTACAATGACAAAATGTACGACAAATCAATTTATGTGATTTATCCAAGATTAAATGTTAAATCCTAATCTGACCCAGTCATTCCATTTTAAGACAACGAATCTATGAAACGAAATATAAGTAATAATTTATTGTGATAACTTGACACCGCAATATATTTGACGTAATTGTCATAAATTCATTAGGTACCTCAATTATGAAATTTTAATCATCACTCACCGACCGATGCGCAACAGCGGAGTTATTCTGCAACGTCGCTACGATGATTCTGTAACAAAGAAATGTAGAATCCGAATTAAAGCAGGGTGCAAGAAAGAGAGACAGTCAATATTTCAAAAAATGATTACTATATAAACACTAAATTTTATATTATTGTTTATTAAGCAAATTTAATGAAATAATTTTGTAATTTCTTAAGAATACTCTATCCATTGAACATAAGCTTCTATAGAATTTCTAAAATAAAACTATTTTTCTCTAACTTTTATTTTCTGAATAACTATCCGGTTAAAACGTAAATGACCTATCAGTATAAGATATAATATGTGTATATGTATAAATAAATTATATTTACCGCTTGTTGCTCCGTCGGCGCCTGATGCCTCCTCCTAGGCCTCCACCTCCTCTCAGGTTGCTCGGGATGTCAGTTACTGTTTCCTCGATGCGAAGATACTCCTTCCTGCGTGGATATTTTCTGTAACATAAAAATAATCGAATCGACTAAATAATTGTCACGCACATCGAACATCTTATTCGTTATTACGATTAATGTTTTCCTAAATTACATCTTCGAAAAAAGTCTCTACGTTAGAATCAACTTGAATCAAATTTTTCGATTTATTTTTTTTTACTAATTTATATTCCAAAACATGGTTTAATGTAGCAACTAAATAAAAACAAACGAAAAAAAGATTCTATAATATCTTTAAAAAAAATAAAAAATAACACTTACCAGAAGTGTTAAGTACGCCGATGCCCGATGCCTCTCCTAGGCCTCCACCTCCTCTCAGGCTGCTCGAGATGTCCATCGTGTTCCCTCGATGCGAAGCTGATGGTCCTTCCAGCGTGGATATTTTCTGTAACATGAAAATAATCGAATCGATTAAATAATTGTCACGCGCATCGAACATCTTATTCATTATTCAGATTAATGTTTTCTTAAATTACTTCTCCAAAAAAGATCTCTACGTTAGAATCAACTTGAATCAAATTTTTCAAATTATTCCTTTTTACTAATTTATATTTCGAAACACGGTATAATGTAGCAACTAAATAAGGATAAACGAAAAAAGGAATTCTATAATATTTTTAGAAAAAATAAAAAGTAACACTTACCAGAAGTGTTGGTACGTTGATGCCCGATACCTATCCTAGGCCTCCTCCTCCTCTCAGGCTGCTCGGAATGTCAGCTACGCAGCATTCCCTCGCTGCTCCGATGTCACGTTCAGCGTCGTTATTTTCTGAAATATTCAAATGAACGATTCGATTAAATAAAGACAGAAAAGATAGAAAATTTTTGGACATAAGTAACATAGTACGTAAAAATCAATTACACTCACCACTTTCTTTCAGGCTGCTTTGGCCGCAAAATCCACCTCCACCTTCGGGTCAAATGAGAGTCTCGAGCCACATTGAGACTCGTGGCAATGCAGTGTGACTTCATCCATTAAGCAAGAAAAATTAGGAAGCCATTTCGGCTATATTGCATTAATTTTTTACGACGTTGTTGCAAAATAGTCGAAATGTTTCTTGACCTTTCTCGCTTAATAAAAATGTAATTGCTAAAAACAATTAAAAATTATTCTCTACCTTTTTTTTTTTTTTTTTT